AGAATTTGTCATACGTTATCATCAACTGTCTATCTCACAATAAACGTCCTGAACTCCTTTAACACCTTTCATTCCTTCACCATTTTCCCTCCATCAATAACTTTAAGCACAATATTTTCAAGGATCGCCTTATAGGGAAATTACCAACGCTAAACAAACGTACACTCGTTACACCTGCTATACCTAGTTCCTTTCCAGTATTCCATCCAATATATTGTATCGTGCAATTACTGTTCCATCCGGCTAGGTTGAGTGAATCTTTAACAACATTGTCCATTCTATTAATGTACTATTATGGTAATTAATTATGGGATGTATGTATACAAAGGAACTGATAGCTATATAACTGTTACCTGCTAAGAAGGGGGAATGTTTGTCTTTTTCATTTTGAGCCTAAACACTTATATATGTTTCACTCAATTATATGGAGGTTGCCTATTACCGTCTGCTAAACAACATTTGTTTAAGTTAGTTAATTTACATGTTTGACGTAATTTAATACCACTAGTTAAGAGCAGGCTGTTATATATTTAGAGGTCACCTAATGATATAATTTCCCTTCTAAAACAGCACCTTAATTTCAGATTTCGGACGGCATTCTACCAGTAGACAGTTACTGGTTCTTTATTGTCTCCTGTCTCGATCAGGTACAAACACATTTCGTTCACATTTCAATAAACTGCCTCAACAAGGCCACGCATTTACACAATGGAGTATTCGGGTACGGGGGCTTGATTCCCGCCTTGCCTCGACAGGCCACGGCTCTACTCGATAACACGTTGTACGTTTATTCAAACTCACTATACCGTTCAAACTGTAGTCTATTATGCCACATTTTTGCCACCTTTCAGTCAAACCTCCATACAACACTATCACACTATACCAATCAGACATACAACAACACGTTCTGACAAGCCTTTCAAACTATACCCCGTCTTTAATGCTTACCTTGGGATATCAAGGTATAAATAACTGGTTCATCACTCCACAGTAACATACATCCATAGATGGGAATTCCGAGCAGTATCAGACTCCCTAGACAGCATCCGTACCACACAAACCCGGTCTTAAACCTCTGTGCCTTTAACCTTCTAAGGGTTCCGGAGCCCTACAACTCACGATCACAGCTAATCAGACTAGCAAATCATGTCTCCTCAAGGAAGACTTAAGAAGGTACATACACTACATCACGTCACACCAACATTTAAACCAGACAAATAAGACGCTTGCTCTACCAAATAATCCCCTAACTACTTCTAATGCGGTTCTACATTCATACTCCTTGCATTAGATTAGGTTGAGACCCTGACTCCTATTTAGAACATCCATTCAATATAAGTACCGCATTCAGTAGCAGTACGCCGGTACACATAAATTCGGTTCACTGGGAAATCACAAGGTATTTCACGGTAACGTTATTAACCAACCACAAATTAATTTTTACCTGATGTTTGCATCTAGCTCTGTGTAGTGGAGTGAGTGGTCATTCCTGTGTCCCCACAAACCCTGGCAATACAGTTCCTACACTGCATTCTGGAATCATGACTATCCCTAGCTGTGCAAGAGATCATGCAGAAACAGCTATAAACTGAACACTGGACTGTAGTTTATATCCATACACTGTAGAAGTTGCAATCTAAAACTATTTTTGTACATGTGCATATATACACATGCAGAAGTAATGATTTACAGGGTTTTTTTTTCTGTAAAGTACAAGCTATATATCGATTGGTACTTACCTCTCTTCCAGCAGTCCTTCTCACATCTGCCTAGGGTTAAAATGTATCAGTGACTCTGTTTTAGCCAGATCACTACATCACATGAACTACATGATAACACATCCGGAAATATGTTATCTGAAAATTGATCTACTTTGAAGAAAATATATGAATGTGATGTATTTACACCAATAGTATTACACTGCTTTAATTAAAATAGTTTTATTGGGAAATGTATTATTGAAATACATAAACAGTAAATATAAGTAGGTATGAACTCATAGATTTTAATTTCTAAACACTAAACTATACATAGACCTATAAGCAACCTTCATATAAAATACTGCTACAGAGCTAGTCTCAGTCTAATCACCCTGCCTGTTACAACTGGTCATGCAAAACTAGGGGTGCTAACTAAGCCCACTGTTGTAGTTATCACATGGAGCACTAGATCATTTGAGATAACATTTGGGGTGGGGGTTATAAGAAGGCACAGATCCCCCACAACCTTGATGATCTAGCTCATGTGTGCTCAAATTATGTTCTGCTTATTCCTTCAATATTGTCAGAAAACTATCAACTATAAACTGATCGCACAGCATAGTAACTTCTCATTGCGAAGCTGAGCTGGCATAAAACTCAACGAGCATGCGTGAAATTCTATTGACATCACTCAGTTATGGGTGGTGCCTCTTCTCATTTCAATGTGTTAAATGTAAAGCTTCAGCCAAAAGATCAGCTGGTGAACGTCCGGTTTAGTCAGATGAAATTAGGACCCTTGAAGGTCCAATGTCAAGACCAACATTTACCTAATTTCCAAAGTATGTTGAAATTGCAGTCTGTAGAATACATTAACGTGGCTGCAATATCTCGACTCTAGACCGGGTTCCAAGAACCCAGACCTTAAATTAGGCAAGTAATCTCTTCTCTGTGAATGTCAAGACTGCAGGGGACCACCTACTGGAAATTATTGACTTTCAATGTGACTCAGACCTGAAAATCAAATGTAATGAAGTGACTCTCCTAAAATATCAAGTGCTTTAGATATAAAACACTTTTGATAAAGGCAGGAGTCGAAACGTGTCAAGCTGAATTAGCCAATCTCTGGAAATATCCAGGTCATCTTTTCATTTAAGGCATTGAACTCTGAGCAAGCCATTTGAGTAGCTCAGCGCCATGTGAGTGAGACTGTTTGTATGTTGCATTTCAATTTGTTCATACTGTATTACCCTATGGTCTTTTTTCCATTTTTTTGTGGTTTTAGGTTTATATTCTTTGTGTAGCTTGTGGTAATATTGTACAGTATTTGTGTGCTCTCGTCAATTTTTATTTGTATTTCTGTAATACAGAAAGCTGTAGTGGTTATGCCAGGTGTGTCCTGGTTTTGTCCCATGATTAGATTTTAAGTCGTTTCAGCAGTTTGACAACTTTTGTGCGTTCACAGGACACCTGTATTTCATTCAATCACATTCAGCAGGAAAGGAGGTCTCTCTTTTTTTTTTTTTGAGTATTCACAGGTCATATGGACTTTTGGTCTAATAATTGATGTTAGTTATGTGTCTCCATTTTTTCAGCGATAGTACCTCCGGTATGGGGTGGGGGGGTTATCCTGCTGATCACCACTCATGCTTCATTTTGGGTTTTTTTGCCTTTCCAGTTTTTCTCTAGGTTATTTTATACTGCAAGTGCCTCTGTTCTTCAAGTTCTACGTGATAACTGCTACTTCTCTTTGTTTTTTTTAAATCCTTTAATTTTTCTTTGTGCATGGAATTAACAAGCATATGTAATGTGCCACAACAGCACGCATATTTTATCTGTCAAGATTCACAATTAGGCACTGAATTTCTGCACATTTTTTTTTTTTTAAACATTTAGGAATAAGCCATACACATTTAAAAGGCAAATGTTGATTGTCGTGTGATAGTGTGTTAGGTGAGTAGCTTAATGCACGTTAGGTGTAGCTTGTTGTGTATGACTTGGTGGCATGTACGTGGCCTGGCTGTCGTAGGCGAATCATGCTATACCACTATGGCAGGCTGCATTAATGCGATGAGGCATGTATAGATAGTGTATGCTAGATACAGGCTAGTCATAAGCTACCGATTAGCTATAGCACATGCCTGTATAGTGTGTGTGTGTGTGTGTGTGTGTGTATAGCAGGCGGGGTATACATTTCTAGTGCCAGGCATGTGGGCTTGTCTCATGAAAAGTGCTAAACATAACAAAGAAAGAGCATGGCTAATGAACAAAAGTAAAGTAACTTGGTCTAACAATGCATATGCAAGCTGAGGCAACGATAGACATAGGAACAGTGCACCAGTGCTAGTCTGTACGGTGGGGTTATGTGTTATCACCGCTCTTGGGCTTGTAGGAGTATAGTCTGCCTCCGGCGCAGTCAATCTGGATTATCCAATGCCGGCTTTGGAGGCTTGACAGGTGGGCCCGGTGCAATAGTAGAGTTGGTGCTGTGGCCATGCTCAGTTTCCCAGAGAGGCTCTCCGCTTGTGGAGAGCTATGCTGCATTGTGGTGAGCCACGTGGCTGGCAGAGTTAGTCCTTGCATGTGGGGTCGCGTTTCATGGATCGTTGGATTCCGTTGGGCAGGCTTGGTGGACTCACTCTGGTGTGTGCGAGGGCCGGAGTCTGAGGGGTATGTTGCCGTTTCCTGACATTCTGGTCTCCGACTTTTTCTCTGTCTGGACACCGCTCTGGGGGCCCTGGGTGGGTATCTGTTTAGGTGGCCGAAACCATGCCGCCGTTTATCCTATGGCCTCGAGGAAGTGCTGACCCTTAGTGCAGAGTTTTGTCCATAGTTTGGCACAGAGCCAGTCGAAAAACTCTAGGGTGTGATGAAGGTGCTTATTGTCTCCTGTTGCGACCCCGCTACCATCTTGCTCTGGCCCCCATAGTCTCGGTCGGTTGCAGGTTTATCCACTTGTGGGGGCCACGTTGTGGGGGTAGCTGACCCCCACGAGGACCAGGATAACCCCCGCTGGTCCAGAGGGGGGGGGGGGAGGAGGCGTAGCAGGGCAGTGTTGGATTGCCGCTTTTGAGCAGGTCCCGTGCCGGGAGATCGGCCGCTTCCCCCAGGCTCTGCACTTCGCCTCAGGCGCTTACTTTGTATATCGGTGCAGGACAGGTATCATTTTATTCCCTGTGTGGTCCGGTTTCGTTTTTTTGGGCTTCTCGTGTAGCTGGCATAGTTTGGGTAATCAGGATTGTCGTTGTTGTGTCTGCTAGTGCAAGAGCCCTCAGAAAGCACATCCTGCCATCTTGGGGGTCAGGCCCCGCTACTTCTCTTTCAGTCTGTTTCAGTTTTAATTCTAACCAGCATTTCCTACTGCCTCTCCACCAAAGAGTGTGTGTTGAAGCTTTCTACTTTTAGTGTGGACTAAAACAAACAGAAGAGGAAAACAAAACAAAATATGGATGTTTCAAATTCACTCTAAATTCTCACTTTAGTGAATAACCCTACAGGTGTTATCCATAGTGGTCCAGTGAGCATTGCCATATTAACACACGGACAGCACTTTAATAATTCCCTGAGAACCAGGGAATTGAGGGAACAAAGAATACTCTACATCTGTTTGAGGTGCTGACCCCACACTCCGCTATAGTCATGTGGAGTTGGGCCAGGCAGAGAAGTAGTCTGATCTCCCTACAGTAAGTGTATCCACCCTGTCTGTACAGCTCATAATACTGGTTGAGAATTAGGGCAGTAGACTCATTTAATAATGTACAAAAATAAAGATTTTATTTCTTTTACTTTATGGATTCCTATTTGTGTTTAGATTGTCTATTTCCGTAACTGCTGGTTAACATATAAATAGTATTTAAATACACCAAGCAAAACTAGAATAACAAGATGTATGCGGTCATGTCTCCTCATCCCCCCCACCAACCCCTGTAGTAGTTGAAATCATGGAGAAAATCTCTGAATGGAGTGAAAGATAGCATTGGTGCCAACTCTTATGGACACCCACAGACTAATGTTTTGTAATTTTGTGCATACAGGTTCCTCCAAGACTCATCTGACAAGACTTGGCAGTAGTGCAGACAGAAATACTAGCACAATGGAAACTTCTTTAACAAGCAAATATGACATTTGGATAGATCACTGTAGAAGATTCAAAATCTCTACATGTGACAGGTACAATTTGATAGCGCTTCATAGAAAGAAAAAATAAAAGTACGTAACAACCCTCCAAAACTTGACTTTCAGTAGGCTTTTATCGCTGCAAAATACATAATGTTACACACTCCATGGAGAACGGTTACCAGAATACAAAATAAAATGTTCATTAAAAAATTTTTTTGATACATTTGTTTACAGATAGTGTAGCAAGATTAACGAGAAACACGAAGTAGAAACGGACCAGATCTTAGTTTCTCTCTAAAGGGCACTAAACAGACTTTGGGGCTTTTAGAATCTTCTTCTGCTTTAGTTTTGGGGTTTGAGGAGCCTTTTTAACAGATTTGCTTAGTTTCACAGCAGACTTCCCAGCAATCTTTTTGGGTGTCTTTTTAAGGATGGTGTCTTTGGTCAGAGAGTTCTGCTCCTGTTCCTCTGTTTTAGCCAACTTTAAGGGAGTAGACTTTTTCTCAGTGTTTGTTTTTTCTGCAAGGTCCTCAATTTTCACATCACTAGCTTTGCGTTTCTTTACTACACTTTGTGGTGTTGACATGATTTGACTCTTCTCTACGGGTTCTGGTTTCTTCACTTTAGGCGTTCTGGCAGGAGTTTTCCTGCCTTGTATTGGTGTTTGAATGCTTGCTACAGGTTCTTGTTTCTTTGCTTTCGCTTTTGGTGTTTTGCTGGCTTGTGTTATCAATTCTTCGCTCTCCACATGGTCCTGGTTCTTCTCTTTTGCTTTAGGCGTTTTGGCCGGCGTTTTCCTGGATTGTGACGGGGTTTGGTTACTTGCTACAGGTTCCTGGTTATTCTCTTTTGCTTTAGGCGTTTTGGCTGGCGTTTTCCTGGCTTGTGACGGGGTTTGGTTACTTGCTACAGGTTCCTGGTTATTCTCTTTTGCTTTAGGCGTTTTGGCTGGCGTTTTCCTGGCTTGTGATGGGGTTTGGTTACTTGCTACAGGCTCCTGGTTATTCTCCTTTGCTTTAAGCTTCTTGGTAGGAGTTTTGCTAGCTTGTGTTATATCATTGCTCTCGGCAGCTTCCTGGCTTTCTTCCACTTCAGACTTATTAGGAGTTTTGCAGACTTTTGTTTTCTGGAAAATAGAAAAAAATAAATCACCAGCGGAACGTGAAAATGGTGTGATTTTCCATCAGAGTATAAGGTAACTCTCCCCCTAATCACGAACAACATAATCTGCCATTTTTTAGTATTTAAAATGAAAAATAAAAATATATATATTCTTAGACTGAGCTACTCTAACCATATCTGTTTTGTTGCCAGATTCGTTCTGTTGCTGCATCATAGCATTGCAAATTTCTATTAAATTGTATTAGCAACTATTTAACACACAGAGTTTAAATGCACTCACAAATGTGGCTGTCTCACTCTGCGCACCTAGTCACAGGCTTCCATTCAAACAGGTATGTTACAAAACCTATGTTCTTATATCTGAAACCACCAAAATAGGGCCTTGTTTAACAAGCTTTATAGCCTAAATTAGATAGACCACTTAAAATGCCAGACTCTGCTTTTCCGCTCAGTTAGGCATTTTAAATTAGAATTTGTGCCAATCCTTTTGCCTGTCCAAAACACATGATGAGTTTGTTTCAACAAGCTGGAGAAATGACAGATCTGCTGAAATGCTATATCCCCAAACTGGCTAGGATTCTGGTCAGACAGAAGGCCACCCGGGCCACTGTATAAATCACCACTTCACAACAAGGCACAGGTGCAAGAATGACACACGGCACCAAATGAACCTATGCATATCTCCAACCAGAAACCTCAATGAAGGAAAAAAAATAAATAAATAAATAATAAGACACTGGGGACATGTGTATAGAGACACAAATCCATGCACAACAGAGGGGAGAAGCAAGTGGTTATAACTTGGACCTTTTTTTTTGCGTTTAAGTTTACGTGACTGGTTAGTGAGAAGGAAAACAATCCAATAGTTGTAATATCATGAAGGACATTTGGAAGATAGATTAACTTTTCACATCCCTCAAAACACACAGGGTTATTAACTAAATTGAGAATTACTGGAAATTCATAGTAAATTTAAAAAAGTCAAGGACAAAATAAGCGAGCTTCAAGCAAAAACAACTGAATTGTTCCAGTTCAGCTATTTTTACTTTCAGATTTGAAATTCACATTTAAATGAAACAAATTATACTGACACT